TCTCTGGAATTTTTTCAAAAGTTGCTTCCGTTTGTGGAAAGTTCTGCTCAAGTCTTGGCTATTGAACAGCGAAAATCGCAGGTCTCTATCTCATTCCTATCAAAAGTTATTCGAAAAATACCCACGGGTCTTGTATTTTGGGATGGATAGGAGATGCATACACAATGAGTAATTTAAAATAGTCTCATATAACTCTCTTCTTTCAAATCTTTGTCAAACAAAAATAAAAAGAATCGGTGTCCACAGGGGTATCACATTTTTCTCAATGGGAAATTTCCAACTTGTAAATAATAAATGGATCATAAAAGCTACGAAAAAATGCAGTAGTATTCCGCACATTTATACTCTACTGCTAGGCTTCTTTTCGCATATCAGATTTTGAAAAAAGTATGTATATTTATGTTAGCCTGCTTACCTTGCACGTGAAAGATTCTATCAGATCGAACTAAAAAGACCAGAGAGATGTACAGTTAGCATAAACATATAAAAGTGAAAGGTTGTCAGGAAAAATCAGAGAAGTACAGAACTGTTCGCACGTGAAATCTTTCTTCCATTTAAGGTGTAGATGCACAGAAAAGATGTCCGGTATCAGATGCCACGAATGCGGTGCTACAGTGACCACGACTGGTGCGATAGCACGATTAGCTGCTGATGGTGTGAAGTGGGCTGCGGAAACAGCCACTAATCTTGCTCCTGATCACATCCATATTCATATGGCGGCCGGCATTGGATTAGCGAGCGGTCTGCCTCCAGTAGCTAACAATGGACCAGGTAAGATCAGATCTGTTAATCCTAAAACATGCAATGAAAAGATGAACGATATTTCCTTCAGAAAGTGGACTTCTTGCTGAACAGTACAACGCCCGAGGATACAAATGCATCAATGATCATTCGCGCAAATGGGTGACTGCTAAGTAGAGAGTTGTATGCGCAATAAAACTGCAACTTAACCATGTGATCTCTCAAACTTGCGGTCAAGCGTTTTTCCTTGTCTTTTTGTACAATCACGGATTTTTAGACTTCTTCTTCTCATGATAACCATTTCTCATCGATTCTTTTGCCATTCTCCAATAAAAGCCAACTAAACAAGAACTAATTATTTTCAGATGTAAACTGGTCAACGCGGAAACAGTGACCCAGTTCCGTTAGTTTCCAGATTCGAAAATTCTTGAAGAGAAAATATTAATATACAACTGAATAATCCACAATAGTGTGTACGATGATAGACTTAGTCCAAGTAGGTAAAAAATAGGAAGCGTGTGGAAACTGTAAGAGTATCTGCACCTTGTTCAGACGATAATCGACGATAATTGCCAGGCAGTAACGAATAGAAAAAGGCGGTGCGGAAACGATACGATTTCTATAGTAAGTACGTTCATTTGCTAGTGATAGGTGTTCGTTCTCACATCTTCCTCCCCTAATACACTAGTCTGTGTGCCCTGCTTATCATCTTATTATTCAAAAGGTAGTGAAACGAAATTTCGAAAATTTTCGAGATGAAAAATCGCTGCAAGATGCTAGCGTCTTTATTATACAAGATCTACCGCTTTCTGCCATCGTTCCCGTTCCTAGATCGATTTGAAGTGCTTTCGCTGGCGGCATAAACGGGATTTGAGGCTGGGGTGGACGCAGCCCCACATATTTTACAAAACATATTCAGAGAGATCGTTCTTTAGCGATTGAACAGTCTTGAACGCTGCCCCGTGCCATTCGGTGCTTTCGGTCATAAGATCACTTTTTACGCGTTTCACAGTTCGCATTAATGAGACAATGCACAACGAGTCACTTGCACTAACCATTCGAGAGAATGCAAGAGGCGATACTGGAAACCGATGTTTACTAATCCAAGCTAGCATCCAGCGACACGCTCATCTCATTTCGAATCATAGTAGTGGGAACGCATCGTACGGTTATTTTTTTTGGTAACTAAATTGGACGGACTCAGAATAGAACGAGGCTAGCGGTGAACTGGAACAAGACGAGACAGGAATTATCATAGTTTCGCTGTGCCATGGAGTCTATCCCTTCTCGTCTATCTCTTCTCGTTGCAAGCATATCAAACACTCCTCGCAATCGTTAGATAACAGATTCGTTCGAAATTGTCCGACCTACCGTAATCAAAGTCGGGAACTCGGGGAGAACTGCCAAGAAAATTTCTGGTCTCTCCCGGAAAATGGATCAACACCGGCTGAGACAGATACCCTCCTGCCGAGGAAAAGATGTTTTCGCTCAATCTGGAAACAACCAACTGGTCTCTCCTTTGAAATTAATAACTGTTAAACCTGTTCCAAATTGACTCCCTTCCATAGGAGAAACAGAGGTTATAGAGAGTTATTAAAAAGGAAATAGCAGTTCATGTCTGCACTAAAAATCAAATGACAGCTCTAACGCGTACCACAAAGCTGACATTCTTTTCAAGAAGGACTCGAACAGTTCTGGAGGAGTTCAACACACCTCGGCCACCTATGGTGAAGTCGCTGCTAGAAAAGTGAAGAGTAGGAAATTGTCTGTCAAAAAAAGCGTATTAATTAGTTATCTCTCCAAGAAAAGATCCGATCGTGTCAGACACCTTACTTTTCTATTATAATCTTCTCCAAGCGAGCACTGTAATAGAAGATGATCAGCATCATTCGTTTACTTTCAAACGAACAGATCGTGCAAGCAGCCCATTAGTGCACTATCCATATATCTATCTTGACCTTTACGTGACACGGATCGTTGTCCTACTCAAACAGAACTTCACCCGTTAGATCGGCAATGAACGATAGTGATAGTTACACATCGTCTCCAGACAAAACTGTCCTTTATCGCATGAAATTCTTTCTGCTTGTTGGCTTGCAAATCCCAGCTATTGTCATTTGCCTCTCGCTCTTTTTCTTCTTTATCACGCATCGAGGTTTACTGCAAAACCGGTGCAATCAAGCTCTACAAATTCTATTGGTGGTCAATTTCATTCAAGTGATCTGCGATCTTCCTATGGTCGCTCATTTCTATCAACTGGGCCGGATCAGTCCAGCAACATCCGGGTATTGCACCTGGTGGACATTTCTGGAGTACACCTTAAATGGAGCGAATGAATTCCTCATGGCTACGATCTCCGTTCAAAGGCATGTGCTAATTTTTCACTCTCAACTATTAAACGATCGGCTAAAGCGCTGGTTGATCCACCTCCTTTCTCTTCGCGTATGTTTGATCTATCCGGTGATTCTGTACCTGATTATCGTCGTTTTCTATCTGTGCGATGGCACGCAATGGAATTTCTCTGCCAATGCTTGTGGTTAGGCGAATTGTTACCTTATTTACAGCAAGGTTTTGGGCACCTACGATTAGGTGTGCGATAATGACTTACCAATCGTGGTGATTATCCTGGCGAATGTCATGCTGGTTATTCGAGTCGTGAGACAAAAGTATCGCCGTCAACAAATGATCTCCTGGCGCAGGCAACGGCGCATGACCCTACAACTGCTGAGCATCCCTTGTCTCTATTTCTTCACCTGGTTTCCCAATCTTTGCATAGGCTTTGTTCAGGAGCTATTTATTCCCACTTTTCTTCTCGTCATTCGAGGCCATTTACTAGAATCTGCTCTCTCAGTATCGAAGTACGATTCCCAATCATGCGAGTCTACATTCAGACTCCCTAGATCAATATCAGAAGCCTTCTCATCAATAGTGAATTTCACGACTGAGGAGTTTCTCAAAAGAGCTGGCAAGTTTGCTGTTCTGACGGAAATAGAGCACTGATCTGCCTCTGATTATTTGAGTAGTTCACTGCAGTTTCCAAAGCATCATACACGACAACGAAACCGCAGTGCACCGAGAGTGGCTGCCTCGGGATTTACAAACATGCTTCTCTCACATGAGAATATAGAAAAAGCCATCCACCTAGCTTTCAATCATGCTTATACTCTACTCTCGGATTCGGATGTACACGTTGCTTCGAAAACCAAAAACCAAACTACATTGGAGCAAGTCAGTTCATTTGTTTCGATCCAATCCAAACGGAAACCACTCAAGTCCTCATCAAATGATACACGAAAAGACCCATCCAGTAAAAATAGTCAAAATCGTCCACATAGTCAAGATAGTCAAGATCATCAAAACTGTGAAAATAGTCAAGATCGTCCAAATAGCCAAGATCGTGAATATAGTTAAAATAGCGAAAACAGTCAAAATAGTACAGATCGTCAAAATCGTCCACGCAGTGAAGATCGTCAAAACAGTCAAAGTAGGCAAGATCGTGAAAACAGTTGAAAAAGTCTAAACAGATCGACAACACAGCGAAAACAGTCAAGATAGCTAAGAACGTCAAAAGAGTCACCATAGTCAAGGTCGTCAAAACAGTGAAAATAGTCAATATAGTCAAGATCGTCAAAATACTCAAAACGGTCAAGCTAGTCAACATCGTCGCCACAGTCAAAATAGTCAAAACAGTGAAAATAGTCAAGATAGGGAAGATCGTCAAAGCACTAAAAACAGTCAAGATCGTCAAAACAGTCAAAATAGTCAATATCGTCGAATATAGTGAAAATAGTATAAACAGTGGATATAGTCAAGATCTTCAAAACAGTCAAAGTAGGCAAGATCGTGAAAACAGTTGAAAA